CTGGTGCACTGTGCCAGGTGCCAGAGACACAGAAAGCCCCACTGTCTTGGAACTCACATTCCCTAGGAGTCTGAGGGGCCAGATGGGGAGTGGGAAGGGGGGACAGGAATATTTGGTGATAGTTTTCAGGAGGAGACAGTGCTGGACTTGAGATAGTTTGGGGACCAGTAAAGCAGGGGAGGAAAGAAGACTATGCTGAAGGGTTTGGAGCTTGTTGTTCCAGGATCTATTAGTATGTAACCGACTACCCCAAAACATAGCGGCTTAAAACAACCATCATGTTATTTATTGCACAATTCTGTGGGTCAGGAGTTTGGGCAGTTCTGCTACATGGGGTGTTAGCTAAGGTCACCTGGTGGTGGTCAGCTGATGGATGGGCTGGTCTGCAGAGCCCATGGTGGCTTCACTCACATGTCTGGTGCCTTAGCTGGGTGGCTAGAAGGCTGGACTCAGCTGGGACTGCTTATGTGTAGCCTCCTCAGCATGGTGGTCCCAGTGTAGTTGGTTTTTTACAGGGCAGCTCTGGGCTCCCAGGAGACCCAGGCAGAAGCTGCAAATCTTTTTCACACCTGGCTTTAGAAGTCTTAGAGGATCATTTCCTCTGTATCCTGTTGGTAAGCAAGTCACTAGGGCCAGCCCATATTTAGGGAGAGAGGAATTAGACCCCACCTCTCAGTGGGAGAAGTAGCCCTCTTTAATCTGCCACCTGGGTTCCTTGATAGGGGCGCCACTGGGAGACTTTAAAGAAGGAAGGTTGGATGGTGTGCTGGGTGTTATGACACTTTTAGATTAAGGGGCAAACATCAAATGACAGTGGACTGAAAAGCCACCAAGTGTTGGAAGTGGAATAATGGGTGTGGAGTACTTTTCAAGATTCTTGGCTTCGTGAGAAGATGGGAATGTGTGTGGAGACTCAGAGCGATGCTTAAGAGTTGGAGACATTTGCTTGTTTTGCTTTGTTTTGAAGATGGGTGAGGTCACCAATGACCCATTTTTTTCCAAATCATGGTTGTGCATTTTCATTCTCTAAACTGACCTCTTAACCGATTAAACACTGTTGAAATTGTGCCTTCTCTTGTCTTTGGTAATACATCTTTCTCCTGGTCCTGGTCCTCCTGCCTGTGACTAAGAAGGGGTTGTTTCCTTAAAAGGTGTCCTTTTCCAGGTTCTGCCCCAGCCTTCCATCTATTGTCATGATTTTAACTGCCACCTGCGTGGTGAAGGCCCCCCCAGGTCCATAACTTGTATGGACTTCCAGACCTATCTATCCAGTTGCCTCCTACACATCTCCTCTTGGATGTCCCTGTAATTCCTCTTCCTGTTTCTATTATAATAATGCCATCAACCTGGCCAGGCCAGAAGTCTGTATGATTTTCTCTGCATCTGTCTCTCACTCTGTCTCTCACTCTAACCTCCAAACAGGTTACAAAGTGCTGTTATTGTTGCTTTAAAACCAGGGTTCTCGACTGTGGCTGTGTGTAAGCATCACCTGTGGCTCTTTGCAAAAATGAGACCCAGAGCCCCATCCCAAATTTACTGTGTCAGAATCCCTTGGGACTTAGATGCCCATCTTTTTGTAAAGCTTCCCAGGTGATCGTGATGTTCACTTCATACTGAAAACAACTCTAAGGCTTTTCTCTAATCCTCCAACTCATTTCCACCATTGCTGCTTTGGTTTAGGCCTTTATGGTTTCCTGTGGCTGCCATAACAAATACCGTGAACTTGGTGGCTTAAAATGAGAGATATTTATTCTCCACAGTTCTGAAGGCCACGAGTCTGAAATCAAGCTGTTGGCAGGGCCGTGCTGCCTCCAAAGGGGAGCATCCTTCCTTGCCTCTTCCAGCTTCTGGTGATCCCGGCTGTTTCTGGGCTGTGGTTTCATGTCTCCAGTCTCTGCCTCCATGTCCACATGGTCATCTCCTCTCTATCCCTGTGTGTCTCTTACAGAGACACTTGCCATTGGATTTAGGGCTCACCAGTAATCCATGACAACCTCATCTAGAGATCCTTAACTTAATTACATCTGCAAAGGCCCTTTTTCCAAAAGGTCACGTTCACAGGGTCTAGGATGTGGACGTGTCTTTTTGGGGCTACCATTCAGCCCACTCCATGCCCTGCTGTGGCCATGATGGCCTCTGGTCTGATCATCTTGCCTCTAGTCCATCCTACGCTGTGCCGCCCTAGCCCTCACTCTCTGTTCCCAATCATGTTAGCCATTCGCTTAACTCTCACCAGGCTCCCCAAACCCCTCAGGGTGAAAAGCTTTGCCCCTTGTGAAGCTCCAGGCTGGTAGAATCCGGCCCCTGCCTTTTACCCTCCTTGCCCCCTACTCCTTCTCCTCTTGAACTTTGTGCTCTCCGCAGTACTAAACTACCTGTAGTCCTCCTGGCCTTGTACATGCTGCTGCCCTGTACTGCCATTTAGTCATTTTGCTGAGATTTTAAGACAGTTCAAGCAGTGCCTCCTCCACGAAGCCTTCCCCAGTGCCTCTTCCTGTGTGCTTTGTGCCATTAGCGCATCTTGTTACTTGTGTATCATACCACACTTGGTTTTGTGCCTCTCTCTTCCTAAGTAGAGAGCTCTGTGAAGGTAGGGAAGCTGATATTCATCATTGTAGTTCTAGTACTTGGCATTATAAATGTTGATTGAATGACCATATAGCTTAACCTAATTATAAACTTGTCTATCTTGACACTGGTTTTTCCACAGCTACCATAATTATTTTCAACAGGATTTTTCATCTAGATGTATTAAGTAAGTAGGCAATAAGTAAATAGACTGGCTTACTATTTGCTTAACCTGTAATATCTGTGCATCTATGCTCAGGCAATTTAAATTAAAATGTCGCTGCATGTGTTCAAGTTGACATTTCTGTTTTTTTTCCCCTTTGTATTAGATACGGCTTTTGGGTTGTAAGTAGTAGAAAGCAGCCGAGTTAGTTGAAACTAAGAAGAATTTCATAAAGAAGGGTAAGAGTACCTCTGGCCAATAGAAACCCTCCAGGATCCTCTTTCTGTTTCTTTTTGCTGCCTGTCTCTGTTCATCTGCTTCATTCTTCACTTTGTCTGCTTCTTTGGCCATGTAACAGACGGTGACATACCCACAGCACCTGTGTTTACATTTTACAGCTCTAGCCACTGACAGAGAATGGATGGCTGTCTCTCTGTTCCAGCTTTGTATGTTCCAGGATGAGAATGTCATTGGCCAGCTTGGGCCAGATGTCAGCCTCCAGCCAATCAGCTCCAGGGTGGTGGGGAGGATGCTGGCATGGCCACTGCATGCAAACGTGGTACCGGGGGCTCACCTTTGGGAGTGAAGGAGTGGATTCCAGAGAAGGCAGTATAGTTGTGAGCAGATAGCCTAAGAAGTGCCCGCCTCACTCTTACTGGGCCAGGCGTCTTGGCCAGGAGTGGGCAGTTGAGAGAAAGATGCAGTACAGAGCTGGTTAAAAGTGAGGGCATGGAACACCTTGCCAGATTTGTGCTCATTGTCTCTAGTCCACAGTAGTGAAAATGTTCCTCTCGGTTGTTTACAGTCCCGACTTTAATTAATTCACATGTGTTTCCTTTAATATAGAATGTTCATCTTGATTTAAGTGATGTGGAAATATATTAAAGCAAAGTGGGATTGTAATGGTTGTTGACTCATGGATACTTTATAGTAGTGATCACAAATATGTTTAAGACAATTATGTACTTTATTTTGATCTTGCCTGAGAAAAAGAGAGGAATAAGACTTGAAATAAATTATCTTTTTATTCTAGAGATATTTTTTATATAGCTGACATTCTTTGGTGATGGAAATGAAAACAGATTAAAAACACAGTGGGAATGACTTCCGGTGATAATCTAAAACCATTGTCAGATTGTAGCTAAGACTTGACTGGTAAAACAAACACACAAAACCCCTTTGTTCCAACTTCTGCTGTTCTCCAGTGGGCCTCACACCCCCGCTTCCCCTATCCGGCCACGCTCTTCTCTTTGGTGTAGCTGGAGAAGTGGAGAAGTCCCAAGGGTCTGCTGGACAAGACAGTTAGGACAGGCATAAGCCACTAGCCTTGTTGTTCTCTAACTTCGGTGTTCTGAGGAAACCTTGGAGCAGCCATATTTACCCATGTAAACTTTAAATGATTTCCTTCCCTTCTTTTAGTTTTTTTTCTTGAAAAGAGTTTCTGCCAAGGTGGAGGCAGAGAATAGTTGTGTCAGTGTGGCAACATGGGAACATACAGGGGCCAACTAATCCGGAGTTAGAAAATACAGTTGGAAATTGAAATGCTAACTGTAATCCTGCATTTCTTTTAAGCACTGGTATTAGCTAAATCTGCTTAAGGACATTATATGTTTCCTAGATGACTTTTAAGTTATTTGACAGTTTGTGGGCTAAAACTTCTATGTATATTTTTTGCAAGCTAATTTTTGCTAACAAAAAGTATTTAATTTCTGCAGGCTATTTTTTGCTAACCTGACAGTGTAGGGTTCAGACAGAAACGGGGATGAATGTAGAGAATTCAGAACTTTTAAGGAAGCAAGTAATTAAACTTGGTCTTTTTACAAATAAAGATCCTACAGACAACATTAACATGATTTAAAAGTCAGAGATGAGGTTTAATTAGTATGCTATTTTCTAACTAGTTCATTTAAAAATATTTCTCAAGTGTTTCTCTGGGGTCCATTAGAATGGTGCTGGCTGAATTGAGCCAGCGCTAATGCAGAGTACTCATTGGTTTATTTATACTCCGTCTCTTTCCAAAAAGATATGAAGAATCTGACTTTATAGATAGAATAGGCAACCTATGCTTATACATGGCTCTTAAATTAAGTTTCTGGAAGTGATTTGAATTTCATTACAGCTCTAGTCTGTTTTTCAACCCTTAACTTTTTTGGAGTGTTAGTGGGCAATTCTTTATGACCATTTCTGTCTTTTCCTTATTCCCTCTAACTTTGATGCTTAAAACTTTCGAAATCTGCCACTAAACAAACCCTTTCATCCCTCTTTCTAGGTACAATGGTGCTTTACCTAATGGAGACCGAGGACGGAGGAAAAGCAGGTTTGCTCTCTATAAGCGGCCCAAGGCAAATGGTGTCAGACCCAGCACGGTCCACGTGATATCCACGCCCCAGGCATCCAAGGTAGGTTGGCAGAATTGGGCGGGCCTTGGCAAACAGTGACTCACGGTTACTCCTTCAGCTGCTCTCACCTGGGGCAGTTTCTCAGACCAGCTGAGGCTGGCTGGCTCTTTGTCGTGAGGGGCTGTGCTGTGGAATGTTTAGCAGCACCTCTGGCCTCGACCCCTGGATGCCAGTAGCACCCTGCTCCCCTGCACAGTTGTTAACCACCAAAGATGTCTCAAGACGTTGCAGAATGTCTCCTGGGGGCAGGTGGGCAAGTAAAATCTGCTCTGTTATGAACCACTGCTTTAGGATACAAAGCAACTAGCATTTGTCAATTTAGAATAGTTGTGGTTGAAAGATACATGATGTTCTTTATCCTAAGAAGTTTTTGTGTTGTCTTGGTTTAAACCTCATGAAGATCTGTTATTTTCCTTCTGTTGAGTGTAGTAGGTGTTTTCACATAATCTACATGTACATGGAACTGAATTTGTGTGATTATCAGAAAGACAGTAAGTAAATAGAGCTAAGTGACATAAGTCACTATACATTTTTCTTCATCTAGGTTTGAAGTCAATAAAATGGTACATTTTTTAAAAGGATTATTTTATTTGTTTTCTAATACATAGGTCAAGGAGAAATTTGCATTTCCAGTCTGGTTTGGTGTATGTTACATATTAGATTTGTTGTAGTTTTTCTTTAATGAAATAAATTCTTTAATGTACATTATAGTTTTCTTTTCTATGGAATAGTTATATTTACCTTAAGTATTTCATATGGGGTAGTGGCTATACACGTAGATCATCATGAGTTTGGGCCATCTGGGATATAAGTAAGAGTCTTGATTCCCATTTTTACTGAAAACCCATTTTCAAAGAAAAATGAATAGCTTCGTGGAAGCACTTGTGGTATTTATATGCAGCATTAAGAACATAGATCACTTTTGTTAATGTGTTTATTTAAAGAGTTCCTATTGTTTCTGAGGCAGTGCCAGGGAAAGAATTTGTTAGACTGTACCAATCAAGATTGTCTTGCATTAATGAGGGAATAAACACATAGGAAAATATCAAGCACCAAGGAAACAGGAAAGACTGATGTTTAGTGGATAGGCCAAAGCTAGAGAAAGATAAACTAGAAGTTTTAGGAGAAGAAGACATTTTATAAGGAAAACAAAGGAAATCCAGCTTCACAAAGATTCTGAGGAAAGAGGAAGGTAAAAAAGCAACAAAGTCTTGGAAGGTCAAGAAAATATGAGAAAGATTTTTATAGTCCAGAAATATTTGGTGAAGGATACCAAAACAAATGTTTAAGCATGTGAGGAGTGCCAAAAATGTTCTGGTATTATATACGTGGCCCTTATAATTTTGTCTGTTTGTTGACATTTCTTTGCTTTCCTTCCTCTTTTTTAAAAAAATCTTAATACAATGGCTGATATAGCAAACCTCTTGTGTTGATTACTCGGACGTCACATTATGATGAATATGAAAATTTGCAACTATTGAGTGATAAGTGGCTCTTCCTTATTCTTTACCCACCCCCATCTCCTCCTGTTTTATTAGCCTTTTATATTTTACCTTTTTACATAGATTTTATTTCAAGTTATTGAGATTATAAATTTTTTGGTGTTTGTGTGTTTAAATCTGTGTTTAAAAATATTCCCCACAGTACCAAGAGTAGGGCAAACTGGGTTTTGGTCTTGACCCTCTTGTTTTGTAATCTGGAAAAAATATTCTCCCAGGGCCTCAGATTCCTCGTTTATAAGCTCAGCAAATTGGCTTTAGGCAGAGGCCGTGTTGAATCAGATAAGATACTTTGGTTATAAGCAACAGAAATTATTCTGGCTAAAAAACAAAAAAGACAAAAATGGAGAGATTATATAGGATAGGGCAGGAGTAGCTCTCAGAAGCAAGGAAGAGTTGAGTAGCCAGGTTTTGTGAGAGAGGAGAAGCGCAGTATCGACGGTCATTAACATGGGTGTTCTTTCAGGGGTGTTATGAAGTGACTTGACTCCAGCCACCATCTGTCTCTTTTAAAGGTTTTAAATTTTCAGAAGAGAGAATCTGATAGGCCTAGCCTGGGTTGCTCAGCCGTGACCATGGGAGATGGGCAGGCCGGGCAAGTTTGCTGGGAGCTGACCAATACCCTGGGCTGCCTGTACCTGCTTTATCTCCTTCATCATTGTGCCTCTGCCTTGAGGCCTCGTGCGTAGCGAGTACTGGGTGATGGTTTGTACCTTGAACGGCTGCCTCCTCCAGCCTCACTCCGTCTGGTCCCCCTCAAGCTCTCATCCCAGCCAGCCCTGCCTGGCCACTTCTGCTAAGTTTGGACTGTTGGCCCTTCTACTCTGGAGCCCCATCGAGTTATAGACAAAACTCCTGTGTATTTAACCTTGTCCTCAAGTACTCCTCCCACCACCTGGCCTTAACTCAATCCGATTTTAAACTCACGTGCTCTTTTTCCCATCTCTTCCAGTTTGTGGAACTAAGGATGATTTCATTCTTTCATTCCAGTCTCCTCTTTTTTTACATTATTTACCTCTGCCCCAGCTTCTGCTGACCTGACTGACCTCCGGTCACACCTTCACGTATTTCAGAGACTCCTTACCTAGCCCAGTCTCTTCCTCCCTGACCCCTGCAGCGTCTGTGGCTCATGGTACTTCAGCGCTTTCAATTTCAGAAAGGATCATTTCTATTCTGCTTTTCCCACTGATCAAGTGCACTCTACACCCTGTTGTCACTTGGCAGTGACCATAAGCTCAAGTTCATTCTACTTGTGTGTATACTTTCTTATCTCCTCTTATCAAGACATCTGACCCTCCTGTCCTTATTTGCCAGGGTTGGTGGCCCACTTGCTTCTCCAGGTGTGTCTTAACCGCACCAGAGTCTCTTTCTCTGGGGGCCTTTTGGCAGCCCCTCATCCAGAGGCTCTGTCTTTGGCCCTGTGCTGACTCCAAGGGACTTATTTTTGTGTCTTCCTTATTGTTCACCCCATGTTTTTCAGGATGCCAGTGTATGTAGTAGTACCTGGCAAAAACTGTTCGGCCTGAATTGACAAGGGTTTTTTTACCCTGAAATGTTTGATTTTGCAGTAATGGAGCAAGAGGTTCATCTTGAGTTGGACTTGGGAAAGTGAGAACCAGAGGATAGGTGTGATTATCCGATGTTGGGGTGTGAGCCCGCTGCCTTTTGACTGCGTTGTGTCTCCTCTGCCGCAGTCATTCCTTCTGCCCCACAGTCTGGGGGCGGAACAGGGACAACCCTTTGCTAGTGACAGGGGCAGCTGGGAACCAGGCCTCGTAGCCTTCTGCGCGCACCAGTATCCACGCTAAGTCACATGAGGATGGCAAGTGTGTGCTCTATTTGTGTAATCTTTATTTGTGTACATGTTTGCTCTTGGACTAATACTCACAGGTATTTCTTTGACTTTTATAATCTGTTTTTTAAAAAAATCAAAAGTCCTGTTTCATTTTTGGCCATTCTGTTACGTAAGCGTAGGGCCTTTAGTAATTTATTTACCCATTCATTTATTCAACAAATATTTACCTAGCGCCGTCCGTGGTCAGGCATCATGCCAGGTATTGGCTATGCAAGCACGTTGTGGAGAGCTAATTGCCTAGTCGGTAGGAAACAATAAAGAATCCCGTGAATACACATGTAACTGCACATTGCAGAAAGTGCTACGAGGAAGGGGTGTGGAGCTCGGGCTGGGGGACAGGGGAGCTCTCTGAGGAAGTACATGACAAATGCGAGCTGAAGGGGAGGGGAGGGAGGAAGGGGTGGCCAAGAGAACCCAGAGATCCTCCCTCTCGGAGGCCTGGAAAATTTGGGTTTTTATCTGAGGGGAACCGTTGAATGGTGGTGTTAAGCAGAGGGAATGGCGTGATACGACTGAATGTAAGTGGATTTATGTGTGTTCATTTACTTTTCTTTGATATGGGGCAACTATTTTGCCATTATTTAACTGAGAAATAGTATCACAGTGATGGAGGCAGTGATGGTGCTGATGCCGGTGCCTGATAGGGATGTTTTGCTGGCAGCGTGGTTTAAATTTAGCAACACTACTATGGAAAACTAACTCTCCATGGCTTTCCCTTCTTAGATTGTGCTTTATTGAAATCTCCTTTTTTGGGTATTTTTACTTAAAAAAAAAAAACTGAAAATCACGTCCAGTTGGCATACTTCAGAATGGAAAATATTAGTGGTCTTTGAGTGATAGTTTAGGGAAAAATTAGGGTCATTTAACATCATTGCTATAACCAGGGGTGCTGTTCAGCCCATTTTGAGCCAGTGTGACGCTGCTGGTTGATAAAATACTGAAACCCTTATCAGTTGATGAATAATATAGTAGTAACTGTGAGAAGTGGTAAAACTAATGATATAATTTTCAATGTAAACTCAGTAGCCCAAGCTAATTTTATAGGATGTAGTGGGGTCCCTTTTTGAAGCACTCACTGTCTGTCTGTCTGTCCAGCCTGTGTTTTGGTGGCAGTGAGTGGCATTTCTCCACAGCACACTCATCATGGAGCTGATATCTTCTGGGGTTTACTGGAATCATCAGTGTTTCATTATCTTCAGACTTTCTAATTGCCATTGTTTTTAAATAGTTGAGTTTTAAATAGGTCTTACTTTGGTTTGTTTCTTGTTATTGCATTATATTTCTTGGGTTAGTAGTGTGTGGTGTTTGATATTTATAAGTTCAAGAATTAATTTAATGAAGTATTTTATTATAAATGAAGAGGCAACAAAGTTTGGATAAGTTTTCTTCTTTTAAATATAATCAATATGAATATTTTGACGCTGTGAGAAAAGAAAAAAGTAAATAAAAGTAATAAAACGCAGCCAAGGATATCTTTTGATACTATGCGGGAATACAAACCCAGAACAAATGATTTGTTTGTCTAGAGTGAAAAACAATTCAACAAAAAATACAAACATGAATCAGTTTCAAAAAAAAATTGAAATAACAACTTCCAAAAACATTTTATCAAAGAGTTTTGACAGAGCAAAGGAAAAAATATTTATGAAG